TTTTTTGAGGGGGGGGGGGGGGTGAGGGGGGGGGGGGGGGGGGGGGGGGGGGGGGGGGGGGGGATAAATAACGAGGCGGTGCGGGTTTGGTAACACGATTGACTTTTATTACATTTTTTTCCATTTTTTAGAACTAAATAACATAAACGCATATTCTGGTTAATCCACTTTTTGTTTATTATTACTCGTAGTATTACTATCGGTATTAAGAGCTAATAACGACGAGGCGCGCCCCTAAAAATCCCTCCCTCGTGCTTCGTTCGGTTTCAATTTCCGTTCGCGTGTTTCCGAGTGTTTTATATATTCACTTTCGGTGAGATCTGTTGATACTCATTTTTTCTTTTTTTTTTCCTTTTTGCTTTCGTTTTCTTTAGATTCTTATTGTGTTGTTCCTTCTCTCCCGCCGTGAAAGCCGAAAAGAAACGTCGTGTAATCGTGTGCTCTGTTACAGTAATTAGGAAAAGAGGAAAGCTCGATTGTCCTTCTCCGTGAATCTTCGTTCTAACCCGGTTTCGTTTACGCGTCTCCGCCTCTACCTGAGCGATCCGTCTCCCCGCGTCGATTTATTAATGTTCGTCCCGCTCGTTCCGTCGACGTATCGAGCAACGAGCGCGTCGCGACGCCTCCCTCGAGGAGGCAAACGAATGATCGAGTCGCTTTGGAAAAATCGCGTCGACCTGCTCGTCGCTCGTACGATCCAGGAAAGGGACGAACGCCGGGATCTACAGTATTCTATGCATTCTTCAGGCGCGACAAAGGCCCCGGACCAGAGACCATTGTTTCATTTAAATTATTCCCGTCGAATTGTATCTCCTATTCCGGAGGGCCTTCTCCCGTTCCGGCCTCGACGTTCAACCCCTCGTGCGCCAGGATTTTCTCTCAAATATTTAAAATATCTCCCATAGAAAACTGGATCGCGAAGTCTTTTAAAGTCAGAACGGTTACAGTATTTCTGTTTATCGAACGAATTTTAAAGAATACCATGACATGGTAATTCATTTAATCTTCCGTGTTCCATTGAGTATGTAAATACCACACTTAACAATTAATCCCGTAAATAATATCTAATTACTCATTTGATAACGCAATTCTTCTGTCTGCTTGTTTCATTCTAATGTTTGGAATTTCTGTTCAAGGTTTTGGTTTCGCCTGTCTCTGGTCGGGACCGTGTCCAGAACTGTTTTGTCACAGGCTGTGCAACCCTTTCTACTCACGGGCAACGGCTACTGAAATCGTGTGTCGCTCTGTCGTGTGGTATTGTTGCCAGTGTGGAAACATGCTCGTGTTCACCTGTCCGTTAACCTTTTACTTGGCACGACGAACTCCCTCCATGCATTCCCCGCCGCGTGGACCGCTTTGGTACGGTTTAAGCCCGAATTTCCAGAACAACCGTTACTTCTCGTCGTCGAAATGAAACATAATAATCCTTCGTCGACCCTCGCACAGTGTAACGAACGTTCGAACCTTCTCGGACCGATTCCGAGCACTCGAAATAAACGCGTCTTCTTCTCGTATGCGAGACTGCAATTAGAAATTGAGGAATGTTCTTCTGCAATTGTCGTCGACTTGAATAATCGGTTCGACACCACTCTCGACAGGCTTTTACTTCAATCGTACATTAACGCTCAAGAGAGCACCGTTGTTCAATTCTTTTCTTTTTTTTTAAACGGATCTTTGATTTTCTAGTTTTGGGAAAACGCTGAAAATTATCGCGGAAATTGGTCCAGCAGGGAATACAAATTTGTCAACAACGTTTCGCGCATCTCGCGCATCTGTCCAAACCAAAAAGGGAACAAAAACGAAAGTTCGTCGTGGCCAAATGAACGGCCAATTAGGAGCGCGGTGCTCGAACGCGTGTAGTGTCCGTGTACCTCGTGAACAAGTGATCTTAAATCTAGAATTACTTGATTTCTCTAGCAATCGTACGTATACATGTACACACATATACATACTGGCATATGTATGTAATGTACATAATCTAACAACAACATAGTATTATCGACCGTCGTCCGTGATCCACGGTGCGCGACGTGAAACGGCATCAACAACAAACTCGTCCGCACCGATCGCTATCGATCGTCGACCTCTCTGTGATTTTATTTATTTACTTTTGTTTTTCTTATCGCTCTCTACTAACGGTTCGAGACAAAAGAGAGACAAAAAAAAGAAGGAAGCAGTGTCTACGCTGAACGATCCGTGTCGAGCAAGCTTCGTGCGATCGTCTCTCCGCGCCACGGGCTCGTCTCGTTTCGCGTACCGTTTCCCCGTGCTTCGATCGGATCCGCTAGAATATTCCGGGTCCCGCGCGACCCAGCATCGATCGTGACGATCCACGATAATTGGTCCTCGGACGTCCGGACAAAACAGAATCGCACGGATGTGTCGACGCGATCCTTCTTGGCCACGATAACCTTTTCTCTTTTTCGTTCGTTTTCTCGTTTTTCTTTTTTCGATTAATGGTACTTTCGGCAATCGTGGGAAGGAACGCCGAAAAGTTATTGCAATCGATGTTTCGTATGTTGGTTCGTGCGGGTCTCGCCCTCGTCCTGAACCCATCGGCAACCCTAAGCGTGCCCATGCACCGGCTAGCCACGCGTTCTCCTCTACGGCCCCCCAGGAAAACTCTCGAGAAGTGTGGACGGCTCCTAGGCGGAGCACGCGAACCAATTGTTATCACAGAATTTATCCCGCTCGAACTCACCCCCCCCCCTACGATTATTCCCGCGAGTATGAAATTTCTCTGAACGGTATACTATCGTTTAGACACTGGGTAAAAATCGCCATCCGCGCGCGGTGGCCTGGCAGCCAAAATGTAGAATTACTTTTCCCATTTTTCGAGTTCTAGCAACACGTTACAACCCTGGGACCCACTCGTCATCGAAACGAACTGGTTACCTTGCGGACACTGTTCTGCTAATTCAATTACGCCCTGTAATTCAATTTCGCAACTTAATTACATTGCGTTTTAATTACGTTGTAATTCAATCTCGCGATTCAATTACATCGCATTTCGGTTAGATCGTAATCCGACCACGTTGTAATTCAATTACATAATACAAACCGACCAGTTAATTCGATCGTTAATTGTTTTAATTGAATGCAATTGAAATACTGTTCTTCGAATCACCGTTCAGACCTTTGAAGAAGCGAGATACACTTTTCTCGTCTGCCTATTTTTTCCTGTTGTTACCTATTCATTTATCATT